GGGAAGTTCATTCCCCGGGCTGCTGGCGGGCTCGGTAATTTCGTTTTTTACTCAAAGCCACAAGCACCTCGAAATTGAACGGCTGTTTCTTTCCGGATCCGTTCACAAAGAAACGGAAGCAGTGTTCTGGGGCAAGAACTTGCATTTTTACCCCCCTCCTCCCTCGCAACGGCACGAAAACTTCCTCGAAACGCTCCGAGCCGCCTTGGAAATCTTTCGGGCGGCTCGAGCGGATAATGCTAACGTTTTTAAAGCTGATAAAATGCCCCCCGGAAAAAAAAAAATAAAAATCCTGCAAGTACTTCTAAGCCACCCTCAGCAAATTTAAAGCGGTTATCGCTACAGCATGAAATCCAAGGAATGGGGTAGAGCTCAGCTTTGAGAGAGGGGGCTCGGGCGGGGAAGGAGACCGGCGGGGGGTGCGGAGAGAACGACCGGGTGTTAATGTGGGATCGGGTCGTCTCCTTTCGGGATTGCTTGTCTGCTCGTCTGGCTGCGCGGCTACGCTGCGGCGCGATTCGCTACTGTACTTAAAAATCCGGGGAAAACAAATGTTTGTTTAAAAAAAATATCGACCGGTTGCTCTAAAGCGCATTAATTATTTAGGGTGGATCTATACTTCCCTCGCGTCAAAGTCAAATGGATAGCGCGATCGGGTCGTCTCCTTTCGGGATTGCTTGTCTGCTCGTCTGGCTGCGCGGCTACGCTGCGGCGCGATTCGCTACTGTACTTAAAAATCCGGGGAAAACAAATGTTTGTTTAAAAAAAATATCGACCGGTTGCTCTAAAGCGCATTAATTATTTAGGGTGGATCTATACTTCCCTCGCGTCAAAGTCAAATGGATAGCGCGTTCGCTCTGGGAAGCGAAAGCAAATAGCGAGGCATTTTTAAAAGAAAATACAAGCGCTTGAGATTTACCGGGGAAAAAGGAAAGAAAACTATAAGGGAAAAAAAAAAAGAAAAGGTGACGACCGTAGGGGAGGAAATGGCATGCTCTAATTATCTCTAAATTCTGGCGAGCTGCTGCGCGATGCCCCGTATATTCCCAAGATTTAGACGGGAAGCTTAAAGTCATAGAAATACAGCAGATCTTGT